AATAAAAAGTAATGCTAGTTTAATTGAGTAATTAGAGTGTTTTTAAATCTTATTTTCACTAAATAATAAAAAATAAATATAGATGGGTTCAAGCTGTTGTAATAAACAATCAATAGAATAAACTAATGAATAGATGACTGAACGGTGCTAAAATATTGAAGGAGTTAAATTTTGTGAAATTATACTCAAAAATTATAATATTAATTATATTTTTTAAAGGTCTACTTTTTTACTGAATCAGATGAAAAAATTATAATTTTAGATTAATTATTTTAGAAAATTGGAAAATACTTTATTTATTTCAATAATACATTTTAGATGAAGAAAGCCCAACATTTAAAGCTTAAAAAAACGTATTATTAGAGAAATGATCAAGATCAGTGTGATTTGAAATTTATTTATATATATTGTTCTTGTAAACATTTAAAAAAAATAAATTAGGTATTAACAAATAACCAAATATGTATGTTTATGATTTTCAAAAATAATAAAAAATTTTATTGTGTAATATAAAAATAAGAATAAATATAAAAATGAATATGGTTAAATGTTAATGAATTACTGAAAAATGTTAATTAAGAATGAAAATTAAATAAAATATAATTTAAGATAATTTGTAGAACTGAAACATCGATCACTTTGATTATTTACCATTAATTATTAATTGTTCAATTAAATTTGAATGTTTAATGTAATTATTTATTTAAATTATACTCATATTTATATAATTTATTAATTTTATGTTGTAGAAGAGTGAGTAAAAATTAGTAGCAATGATGTTTTAATTAGTTTTTGTATTTTTATATATAAATAATAATTATACCGATGGGTTGTGGATCAAGTAAAGGAGAGGAAGTAGATAATCCAAACAAAAGTAGTGAAATATACATATGGAATAGTAAAGGATGTGGCTCATTTTAAAATATCATCTTCTGGTATGGTGTCATAAAAACATGGATTAATTACAAATGATTACACTCTCTTGAAACCTCTCATCGGAAAGGGTATATAAAAAAAGTAAATGTAAGGGGCTTGAGAAAAGGTGTGAATAAAGTCACAAATTAAATAAGAGCGATACAAGTGATCTCAAAGGAAAAAGCAAACAAGATGGAAGTTGAAAGATTGAGAATAGAAATAGAAAATTCTAAAGAGATTGGTAATGATAAATGTATAGATAGGATCATCCAAATATAATTAAGATTTATGAGTTCTATTACGATGGTAAAAATACCTATATTGTGACTGAATTATGCACAGGAGGAGAACTGTTTTGACAAGATATAGCAATAACAATCTTTTTCAGAAAGAAAGCAGCTGAAACTCTAAAATAGATATTGAATGCTGTAAATTACTTACATAAAAGTAAAATAGTGCATAGGTAAAGGATTAATGTGATTTGATATAGAGATCTTAAACCTGAGAATATTCTCTACGAACCTACCTAACCATAAGCTTTATTAAAAATAGTGGATTTTGGTACAAGTCGTATGTTTGAATAGGGTTACAAAATGAATTAAAAACTAGGAACAATAATTAAGTGATAATTAAATTTAACCCTATTTTATAACACCTGATATTGGAAAGAAAATAAAATGAAAAATGTGATGTATGGCCTTGTGGTGTAATTTTATACATTTTACTTTGTGGCATTCCTCCTTTTAATGGTGTGAGGATGAAGAGATATTAGATTCTGTAAGAGAAGGTCAATTAACATTTGATGGAGAAGAATGGAATTAAATATCATATGGAAAAGAAATTCTAAGAAGCAGCATTAACATTTATGGTTAATTAAATGGCTACTAGTTAAGAAAAATAATAATTAATTTAATAATTTTAAGCCTTAGATTTAAATGGAGATGGTAAGATGAATTGATTTTAGGTATTAATCATTTAAATTCTATTCTAGGTTATGCAAAAGTTATGAGTTATACTGATGCTGAATTAGAAGTTATTAAATTGATGAAATAAATTGATTAAGATAAAAATGGAAGTATAGATTATTCAGGTTTTTATAAAATTATTTATCAATTAGAAGTTGTTTTAGCTACTTTTAATAAAGTTAAATTATTAGAAGACAAAAGATTAGAATAAGCCTTTAGATTATTTGATAAAGATGGAAGTGATCAATATCTATAGATGAAATCAAAGGAATTTTAGGTTCAGATGAAACAGCTGTTAGTGATGAAGTATGGAAATAGTTGTTAGTAGAAGTTGATGCCAATGGAGATGGATCTGTAATTATAATATTACTACTTTTATTAGATAAGTTTTTAAGAATTCAAAGAAATTGTTATTAAAGCTATCAATGTTAGTTATTCAGATTAAAAACCAATAAAAAGATTTTATATTATATATTAAATGGATAACCTACTCACTGCTCTAATAACACATTTGATCGATAGCAGTAATCCTGATTATGTTTCAATTATGAGTAACTATAAATGCTTAGATCCAATAATAAGTGCAAATATTGATGCATCTGCAAAAGCATTTTAAATTGAGAAATTTCTATAATCTCTTAAACCAGATCAACGACAATTCTAATTATGATCTTCAACCTCGATCTAAACAATTTAACAGCTCATTAGTATTAGTAGAAGCAAAGCTTTTTGAAAAGAAATTTCAACAACATAATAGAATTTGGTTTCATTTATTAAATAAATATTTTTTATAAATCTTAACTACATCATCATCATTTTTTATATCCTAATTAATTCCTGATTCAATAAAAACTTTCACTTTCACACTTTTCCAAATAAATGCACTATCAATTTTCCTTTAAATTTCCCTTATTTAATGATAATAATCTTTCCTATATAAATATCTATATCTTTAGTAAGCAAAGTATAATTTTCAATCACCCTTTTTAAATTTCCATTTTTAGTTTTCTTTCTAAATATTCTTCTGTAGTTTTATTAAATATTTATTAAGCTGTATATGAATGTAAAATATTTCCATAAAAGCCAAGTCTACATATCTTTGCTTCTAAATCTGTATCTAATTTGGATGCAATAACTACTGAATTCATAGATGCAATTAGTGATTTTTCCGATTACAATCCTAAATAATTTGAATAACTCTTGTCAATATTTTAACCAAAGAAGTCATACTAAAATCTATATGTCCTAGAACCCCAAGATTACGTTAATAGTGTTTTATTTAGTCGCTTGTTCTATTTCTTATTATGAGATGAATAAGGTTAATTCCATTTTTTAAGTATATAAACATAAATTAATGATCTTCATGCATGATTTAATATGCCACTTTTCTTTCTTAAGTAATACCCTACAATTACAAAGAGTTCTCAGCAATTGACTTTTATTTTGTTACCGGATTCTCTCTGTCATAATCAGTATCAAACTCTATCTATGCTTTTTTATATGACACAGGCTAATATCATAATTATTACAACGATGTATTGGCAATATTTAAAC